TTCTCGTCGTATCTCATCTCTCATCTCTCTCACGTCTCGCGCACCTTTCCTCTCGTCTCAATTCGCCTTTAACTTTTTTATTTCGACTGCTCTCAACTTTCTCTCCCTCTCCTCTCGTCGTGTGCTTGCCCTCGTCTGATCGCCCCTCTGGCAGTAGCAGCGGATGCCCAGAGCCACGAAGCAGCAGCAGAGCGGTATGCATCTCCCGTCGTAGCGGCCGCTCAGCGCCCGACCGTGGGGATCCTCGCAGTGCCGGGGGCAGTATATCCTAGCTCATCTGTCGTCTCGGGTGGGAGGGAGCCGGCGGGGTGGTGATAAGCGGTAGACTCGGAGGCGTAACTTCCGTCCCGTGTGGTCTCATGTGACTGGCTGCAAAGAGACGTGCTGGACATGAGCCGCTCTTGGCTGCGCGCGCGTCGTTTCGAGGTGGCTGCTGTGCGTCGTGCCTACTGATCAGAGTTGCGCTGCGCTCACAATCATGTAACAATTATTTCACTATATAAACTATATGTATACTCCTCGGATTGCGGGGTCTGAGGAAACGAATTCGGTTACGATTTGTGGACGCATGTGTTTTACTTTCGATGAATTTCTCGATTTTTGATCTCTAAGTGAGGGACGCGGATTTAGTACTTCGTTGGAGTTGTCTCATCTTAATGGCTCAGTATTACATTTGCACGCTCTGTCAAACCTGTTTATTCGAAATGCGCAATGAACCAAACACTCTGCCCTCACCCTCAATTCAGCAACCACCTGAATTACATTTTTACACCGATCACTCTAGACAATTTTACAGAATTGTCAAACCCCCTGTTCACCATCACACTCTAACCAAAGCACACAACACACACAACACACCGACAGAGAGAGAGAGAGAGAGAGAGAGAGAGAGAGAGAGAGAGAGAGAGAGAGAGAGAGAGTAATAGAGAGGCGAGATCAAAGAGAAACAGGGAGAGAGAAAGAGAGAGAGAGGTGGGGGGAAAGACAGAGAGAGTCATGTCGCGTGCGTGCGGGCCGCGAGCCTTTTATTCTGACTCTCACGTCTGCTCGTATGAATGCCATCTCGGCTACGTACCGAGTCGGAATCAGTAATCGGCACTGCGACCCAGTTCGCGCGTATTTGCATATATATAAGGCGGAGGGAGCGCGCGCCCGACGATGTCAGCCGCATAGCAGCCCCACAGCAGGCGCGGCGATGAGCAGAGAAGCTCGTAGCGGCTTGCTGTGAAGCCCTGCTGTGACTAGAAGTGTCGGGTTGTCGGTCACGGCTGGTGTAACGCCCACCAGCAGACGCGCCCGCCCGTCCGGCCGCACGCCCGCCCGTACGTCCGTCCGCCCGTCCGCCCGTCCGACCTAGTCCGTCGGCCAGCCCGCTAGTCCTTAGTAGTCTTTTTCTTGGCTTGGGATCTTAGGAAGCCATCTCCGTTGGCATGCGCGTGCAGGTGTTTGAGTTCAGCGTGTCTGCTCGACGTATATTTTTCTTATTTTTGGATATTTACTTACAGGCTTTACGTGACGTTTGGTTATGTTGTCTGTCAGTCCTCTATCTCTCTCTCTCTCTCTCTCTCTCTCTCTCTCTCTCTCTCTCTCTCTCTCTCTCTCTCCTGAGTCTCTATCTTTTTTTCGCTCTTTTTCCTCACTCTCTCTCTCTCTCTCTCTCTCTCGCTGGCACGCCCGCCCGCTCTCTATCTCCCTCTCTCTCTGTCCCCCCTCTTTCTCTTACCCAGCTTCGACCAAAATAGCTCACTGT